TCTTCTCTCTCTCTGCCTACGGTTTACTGGGCAGTTCTGTTTGTGACGGTATATATATATATATATATATATATATATATATATATATTGTTGTCCTCTTCTCCCTCTCTGCCTACGGTTTACCGGGCAGTTCTATTTGACGATATATAGTTATGGGAAGGTATACGGCAGTCAGCAACAGTCAGACCCACTCGGAAGTTAGTAGTTAGTAAGTAGTAGGGGTAGATCTAAGTGGTGAGGAGGTGGAGGGTAGGTACCTGTGCCTTTGATCACCATGGATGACTATCCTATGTTCGCACTTCTGTCCCTGTCAGTGCTATGGGGACCACTCCTTCGTTTTGTCTTTCCTCTTAGGTTTCAGAGAACCCTCTTCTCACATTGCTGAGGTCTAGGAAATCGACACCGGCCCAAACAACTGAAGAACAGGCTGAGGTAAATCGCCGCCTCGCAGAAAAGAAGAAAGAAAAGGAGGAAAAGATAAAGAAAAAGGAGGAGGAAGTGAAGAAGAAGTTGCAAGAAGAAAAAGACAAGTTGGAGAAGGAGATGAAGGAGGAGGAGAGGAAGTCGATGGAACAATTAAAAGAAGAAGAAGAAGAAGAAGAAGAAGAAGAAGAAGAAGATGTGGGAGAAAGATTGGAAAGAAGGAGAGGTCAACCATGGGCGGAGCAGGCCGAGAGCAGTCAAATGGGTGGCATACGGATGCGCCAGTTGGAGGCTATGGACTGGCTAGGCCAGTTTGGATTTCGGGAGGAGCTGCCAACAGAGAGTGGGGAAGAGAAGGAAGCTTTCCTCAAACTGTTGTTTGAAGTGAAGGATGAGGCAAATAAACGGGTGTTGGTGGAGGAGAAGAGAGCACACTTGCATAATCGCGTGCTGCTAGAAAGGAGGAAAGAGTTTGATGAGAAGAAGAAGATGAAAGAGGAGGGAGAGAGATTGCGTCAGATGTTGCAGGAGCAGAAAGGGAAACAAGTTGCAATAGAAGAAAGACTTACCCTCCTCACTGACACCCTCCTCCATACCAATGATCAACTCGTTGTACTTCATCAGACCGTAACCAAAGTAGAGGTGTAACAGGGAGAATTTGTTGATACTTGGAATAACTTTCAATATAATGCCTCGCCACAGATTGATTTGCGAGTTCGCGATTATGTGGAACAGTTAGATGAAGCTCTGTGCCAGAGACTTAAAGACCCCGTCGTGATTAAACAATTGAAGATTGGTGGTGGGGGAGGAGATGGAGGCGATGATGGAGATGATGGGGATAAGAAAGGGAAGGTTCCCAAGAAGGAAAAAGATAGTGAAGAGGAGGAGTCCAGGCAAAAGATGAAGGTGAAGTTGCCTTGGACCTATACGGGGAAGAAAAAAAAGAGTATATTTCATCGGGAAGCTGCAATGGATACCTACCTATATAGGCAAAAGATTCCGTACTGGGACCGTGTATTAATGGCTAGCTCTTGTTTGGCGGGTGATGCAATGAGTTTTGCCATCTCCCTGATGAAGGAGAGTGGCTGCACAACCATGGTTTTATATTCCCAACAGACACAGATCGAGGACTTCTTTAAGGCCCTTAGAGAAAGGTTTGAAGACAAAAATTTGGCCTGTAGGACCGAGTCTCTGATCTTAAATATTGACGATCGTAAGTGGAAGAGTGCATCAGCGCTCAAGGCCACTATGGATGAACTTTTGCAGTGTCCAGACCATGGATTAACACCCACACAAATTTTGAACAATTTCGTTAGAGCATTCCCAAATTCACTGAGAACCCAACTTTATCCCCGTACTAAAGAAGAAGGTATGACTCACGAAAAGTTCAGCAAGATAGCGGTAGATCATGCTGGTTTTCTGCAAGAAGCACAATATTACCATTATTGGAAAGATCTCCAAGCATGAAAGAAATGGAGAGATCGCACAATCTGAGGAAACATAGCTGGGAAGGACACCCTTCTGGTCACCTTCGAAGGAGGGGTAGAATCACTAACCTACGATCAAATAGATTATGGACTAGAAGAAGACAGCAATAGTCACTTAGCCCAGGGAGGGGACTATGCGGCTGTTGCAGCCTGGGGGGGAGGGCAACAAGGAGGAAGAGGTTGTGGTAGGGAAGAGGAGGCCACGGTCGAGGTGGAGGAAGAGGACCCGCCGCCCAGAGGGGTGGTGGCGAAGGCAGCTACTATGTGGGAGGTAGGGGAAAAGGTCCCTCATAAGGTGGAAGAGGTTCTTACTCCACAGGGGGAAGAGGTAGAGGTAGACGGCCATACCCGGAACACCCAGGAATAGCAGAAGGCAAACCTTGGTTAGAAATAGGTACAGACAAAAATGTATGGGATGAACGTCGAAAGGCCGGTCAATTCTTCAAGTGTGGTGACCTCAACCACATAGTTCCTTATTGTCCCGGGTAAAGGTACCCAAAAAGGAACGGTCAGTAGAGGTTGCAGTTGCCTCTACAGGGACTCTGGATGCAAGCAGGCTGTCATCCTCCCATCCAAAGGTCCCAATGGTAGAGACTGAGATGGTAGTCGGCCCCCACCTAGTTAGCTTCCCTGAAGTTGCTTGTGCTAGGACTTCTCTAGGTGGTTCCCTCGCAAGCATAGGTGATGAATTGATCACTCGTCTCCCCTCTTGGG